CCCCCAACACTTTCTTTAACAGTTAGACTACGGATCTGCTTCTAAATCCTAGTTATCTTTACAGAAGATTGCAGTATGAGTCAGAGTAAAAAAATGTTACTGATTGATGGAAGTTTTGGTGCAACCAGACCCATCTGATGAACTAATAGCTTGAGATAAAGAATATATGGTGCATAGCAGTGCATAACCTCAACCTAAGTTAAATAATCTGGATTTTGTTTGTTTGTTTTGTTTTAGAACCTGGCCACTAAAAGATCCAAACAGGAAAGTGGAGAACAAATTTGAAGAGCGGGTAGCAGGGTGAGCAGGAAAAAAAGCCTTTTATCAGACATTTTTATTAGTAGAAAATCAGCAGATATCAAAAATGACATCATTATATTCTCAATCTCATCAAATCTTCAGATTAAATTTGTCCTTTTTCCATAATTTTGTCATTTTCTAAGTTGGTAAATTTCCTCCCGAAGTCAACGACCTCCTGCGTACTGCAAGTAGCTGAAGGAAAATTTTCTAACTACTCACACTTCACACATTTTACTTCATCCGCAGTGACTCAGGACATGTGGAATTTTAGATTTTGACATATATCTGCAGTTGATTGTTTGCAATGGTTTCAACAGAAACTGGCTTTTTTTTGTTTTTGTTTAATATTTTTGGTGCTTCAAGTGCTGGAAGAAAATCAGTAAACACAGAGTAAAGCATTCCCACGTGTTTGTTTCTTTTTTTTCTTCTTTTTTTCTTTTTCTTTTTTAAAAGAGCAATGTTCTTGTGCCATGTCTATTAAAACCAGACAAAACAGGTTTGAGGTGTGTGGTGATGAAATTGCAGAGAGGGAACAAAATAACAGCTGGGAGGAAATATAGAGAGGATCAGAGGGAGAAAAAAAAGAGAAATATATGTCTGAATGTGTAGGAATGATGTAATAATACCAGCAGTAGGCTAACATTTAAATTCTGGTCTTTGTCAAAAATGGAAAACATTTAAAATAAACTACTATCTAAAAACTTTGGACATTAGACCTTGCTCTAGACAAAAAGCCACTTTGATGAAGCTTATAAGGTTAGAGGAAGTTCATCTCAATTTTGTTTTATTAAGCCAGATGGAAGCTGTAGTTGACATAGTTGGAGAAATCACAGCTTTTGGCACTAAGTTGTTGCTTACAAACAACAAATTTGAAATGTGTGTGTTTAAACATTTTGAACGTGCAAAGGAAAAAAAACAAGAATTCTTACGATTAGCTGCTTAAGTTAAATCAGAAGATCACACAGGGTGTAAATGAATGTGTGAAGATGCCCCAAAAATCATCTAATGAAGGTCATGTGACATTCAAGTCCCACAAATTGAGTTTTGCACAGAGAAGCAAAGATGTTGTCATTCATCAAAATATGCATCTTTTCCCAAGGTCAATACTGTACTTCTCATATTTTTTAGGGAAGTAATGTAAATTAAAGAAGAACAAGATTCCGCTAAACTTTTACAAGTTTTTACATTTGAACACGTTTGTCAGGTTTCATCCTTTGCATGTAGGAAAATAATACCTTTATTTTTGTCTCCTTTCAGAAAAAAAGGAAGAATATAGAGGGAAAAAGTATACGTGTTTGTATGAGGGAGAAAGGACCAGCAGCTTACAAAAATATATACCACAGCCTATGAGTCACACATGACATGTAGGGGTGGAGCAGTGGGTGGGTCAGAGTCGGCAGTGGCATCAGGCTCAATCTGCTATTTAAGGAGAGTCCTGCCTCCCACCAGTTTCAAAGCCTCACAGGCAACCTGCTGCGTGTGACCGCTCACAGTCTCATTGAGTTAGAACAACATGGGTCGACAGAAGATCTATCTGGAGAAATTGTCCCAGTTCTTTCAGCTCCGTAACCTGCTGCTCCGCCAGGCCCTGGCAGAATGCCTTGGCACTCTCATCCTTGTGGTAAGTCTGTGTGAATATGATGCAGGCACTTTTGTAATTGAACAGAGCTGTCATAATAGTTGGGCTAATATCATCTTGATAGATGCAAATGATAAACTTAAAAACATACTTTTTTTTACAGGAAATATGTTTTAAAATCAAACAAATTGAAGTTTTCAGGACTTTTTTTAAACACTCAGAAATCACTTGTACATGCAACTCATGAACCGTGTAACCAAAACGTTGCTATTTTAGATAACTTTGACAGATAAGACATGACCTGTAACCTCTGCCAGCTGGTTTTCCTTGTAAAGACCATTTTAAAAGCTTTCTGCACTTCAAAGAGAGCAAAGCCACTTTACAATTAACCAAGTCTCTGTGTTTAAACTGGTGTTCAACTTATCTGAGAGCAAACAGAAACACTGCAGGTTGTTTCAGGGCTGCATGTGACAGCAACAAAGCTTTATTTTACTTGTGTTAATGTTTGCAAAGATCCGTTGGGATCCAGGATCTCACCACTAAATGCTTAGTTTGCATTTTCCTCACATGGCAAGTTTGTGTACACAGGAACATGCATGTTTACTCTTTAAAACACCACCACTCTAGCACAACTTGAGGATCCTTTCCCTTTACTAAGGCATTGTGTCTTCAAGGATAAAAATAAGGTTAATATTTTAAAATCTAACAGTAAAACAATATGTTTGATTTAAATTATAATATTAATTAAAGTCTTAGACAACAGTAAGTCTGGTTGAAAAAAAACAAACTAAAATTTCAAGTTTTGACTTAGCAGGAAGAAACATTCATAACCGGTTGTCACAAAATATTTTTTTTAATTAAGGCAATCATAAAAGTTTGTCATCACAGGTGGTGACAAAGCATATGAAACTTCCTGCTACAAATACATCAAAGGATTAAGAAACATTGTTAAGTACATGGGAGAGGTGAGACATGGTCACAGTACAAGTGACATTTGTCATGACACAGGAAATATGCAGGTACTACATTACTGACAGAGCAAACTTATTTTTACTTCCTCCATAAAAAGTTCCACTTAAAGTCTTTAAATAGAAGCTGGTATTTCTCCATTTTTCAAAACTCTATTTTATTAAATAAAAAAAGATTAAAACAACTGATTTATCAGTAAATTTATATGTGAACAGACAGGTTGTAATGTTTGTGGGGGGGGTGTTCTGGGTGTGTGCATGCATTGACGTCTACATAACTGAGAGTGGCTTCTGAATCATTTGCTTCGATTGTTAGGAGACAAATAACAGAGTTCTGTTCGTGCAGGCAAATCCAATTAACTAATGTTTTTTTTTATAAGGCATGGGTGTGTGTAAGCACTGAGTACAAGTTTAACAAAAAAATTAAAAAATCACCAAAAACCCTTTAAAGCTGATGACAGTTTCTGCTGGTAAGGGATTCTCCCTGTCATTAGAAGCAAAGCTGTGTGAGGGGATATAGATACTAATGCAAAGACTAGTTCCAGGCCAGCATTTTTCTTTTCACTTTCAGCTCCAAGACAATTGTCAAGTGTTTTGAGTGAACTTGTGGGAACTTCTTTTCGAGGCTCCCGACTCAGAGCGGTTAGGTCTGCATGAACATGTCCAGTTTCATGATAGCTGCAGGGGTGAAGTTCTCACCTTCAGGATGGCAACAACATAATTATCTCTCTCATTTTCAAAACGGGAAGTTCTAGTGTGGCAACTCGGCTGATGACGTTAAAACTTCTTCCGTAGTTACTCTGCCTTCCAAATAAATCTGATCTGGTCTCGTGTTTGTTGTGTGAAACTCTGACCACCAACTTGAATACCTTTCATTTATGTCTCTTCCTCTATAAAGGTCCATTAGTTTATATCGCATTTATAAAAACAGGACAAACAGACAATTACAGTAACTTTGACCTTTGACAGCCAGAACCTCCTCAGCATGTCGCTAAGCCTGACTGAATGTTTGTGGCAAATTTCCTCAAGGCTTCCAAGAGAAATCTTCTTCATAAAAATGGAATGCACATAATGCGGACAAGCAGTAAACTTAAAGCCTGCGACCACAGTGGTCACTTGTGCAGAAGCAGTTGCTGCTGACACATTTTTATCATAGCATAATACCAAAAAGAATGGTAAGGCCACTTTTTATATCTTGCAGATTTGTGCTCCATTTCCTCTGTATTGGCAAGACATGAATAGAAAAGGATTTAGAGTCCAGTGGTCATAAATGGCCTTTAGGCGCCAGGCCCTCTCAGTGTGGTTCCCTCTAGCTAACCTCAACATCTGAGTGCTTTTGTTTCCCTGAATAAGTTTCTCATCTTGAGGTCTAGAAAGCAACAGCCTGGACACGGACCACACATACCTTCTTGAACCAAAGACATAAAAAGAGTACACACATAAACACTAAGTATGCAAAACGCCTAGTCTGCCACTTGTCCAGAGGAATTGTTTCTATAGTTAATAAACTTTATTTGTCTTTTCTTCAAAGTAGTTCAGCCTCCCACAGCTAAATTTCAAAAACAATTTGCCCTTGAATCCACAACATGGTGTCCCATTCTTATAAAAAGAAAACTGTGTTTAAATGAACACAGAAATCTCATTTATGTCAGAGCAGAGCTGTTTCAATGGCTTCTTGTTGGATTGGTTTCACTGATAATCATCATGGTTCCATGTTTTTAGTCATCATTCAGTCGCCTGACCTTGATAACGAAAAAATATCTACAGTATTTCAATGTTCCATGTTTAAAATCAGCAAAATATGAACAGAAATGCTGTTCTGAACCTTAATAAACCTCCTCATCTTCCTTTCAGATGTTTGGCTGTGGCGCTGTGGCCCAGCAGGTGCTGAGTGGCGGTTCACATGGCATGTTCCTCACCGTTAACTTTGCCTTCGGCTTCGCTGCCACCTTAGGCATTCTGGTCTGTGGCCAGGTATCAGGTAGGGAAACAGAATCCTCTGCCAAGGACAGCGCTAACAAGTTTCCACTAATCTGAGTGTTGTGTTTCCTCAGCCAAATGTCAGAGAAATGAGTGGGCTAAAGTTTACATTAAATATTGTTCTCATGTTTCTTTTTTTTATTATTGTTTTTATTTTTTACTGTTATTCTGTCATTGCGGTACAGGTGGTCATCTGAACCCTGCGGTGACATTTTCACTTTGTCTGCTTGGAAGAGAACGCTGGAGAAAGTTCCCCATGTACTTCCTCTTTCAGACAATCGGTGCATTTTTTGGCGCTGCTGTAATTTTTGGCATGTACTACGGTAAGAGCAGACTGTAGATAATGATACACAACATATTCTACACTATCAAACTATCATATCTCATTGCTGTTTGTAGATGCCTTATGGGACTTCCCCGGAAGTTTTAATGTGACAGGACCTGATGCAACAGCTGGCATTTTTGCCACATATCCTGCAAGTCATCTGACCATTGTCAATGGCTTTTTTGATCAGGTACTTTTTTTTATCAATATAGACAGAATATACAAAACCTTACAGTTATAAAGGAGTGACAATTTCCCCTGATATGAATCTCTCCCACACAGCTTATTGGCACAGCAGCATTGATAGTTTGCGTTCTGGCCATCGTGGATCCATACAACAACCCCATCCCACAAGGGCTGGAGGCGTTCACTGTGGGTTTTGTGGTTCTGGTCATTGGACTGTCCATGGGCTTTAATTCTGGTTATGCTGTCAATCCTGCCAGAGACTTGGGACCACGTCTTTTCACCGCTTTAGCTGGCTGGGGAAGTGAGGTTTTCACGTAAGTGCACAGCCTTAATGCGTTTTTAATGACCTTATCAGAGAATGATGAGTAATTTCTTTGTAGCTGTTTTACATTCATCAACTAAAAAATGTCTCGGTTTCCTTTCAGGGTTGGAAATGGCTGGTTCCTGGTGCCCATTTTTGCCCCTTTCCTTGGTGCCATCATCGGCACAATGATCTACCAGATGATGGTTGGTTTTCACGTGGAGGGAGAAGTACGTGATAGAACCGCGAATCGCGAGAGGGAGAATGTCCCACTTACCGATACCAACTCCAATGCCAAGTCTAAAGAAATGCCTTGAGTGAAAGCAGCTTGTTGCCTAAAATATGCACATGTAAATAGTTTACATTCACTTTCAATTTCTGCCGCAGCTACCTTTGGTTAGACCATCTTCACAACAAATGGAACACTGTTTTTGGAAGTTATATGTTTGTGACTTTAGCCCATTTTCTTTACATTGTGGTATAACTACTGCATTGTAGATGAAATGTTTTGTACAAGATGTCTAGAAACACTAATCCTGATAGACAGAATTGCATTCATTTTATATACATACAAACACGTAAACCTTTGTGTTTTAAAACTTCATTTTTTACAGTATTTTATATTTTGTAATATCTTATTTTTATAGTGTTTTTTTAGTTTATTCTCTTGAGAAAGGTTTCTTTTAAAGTTGCATTTGTAAGTGTTTACCTCCCAGGATTTAAATGGATTTTATCCAATCAGATGCTTTCAAAATGTCACTTTGGGGAAATCTTCCAGTCTTTATGTAAAAAATGTACTGTTTCTGCTAATAAATATGTTGTGAAAAACAATCATTATATCAACATACACAAGAGACCTCTTTCTGTCTAATTATATATTACAAGAACTGTTTGAACTTGAGCCCACTCAGAATACTGTATATCCTTTTGTTCCTCAGTTTGGTCAGTTTTAAACACTATTTCTCCAAATGGAGTGTATTCAGAACTTATTTGATAATATCCTAAAATAATTTTCTTATAAACTATTGTGAACAAATTATTACTTTACATTTTTTTATCATTCAGATTCATACTAGAAATGCTTGGTGAGAACAAGTCGCGTATGATTAGCCTAACTGGGTGGTGGAGGGTGCCCATGATGATAAACAACATAAAAGGTTAGCAATTAGTTGATGGCACTTCTCAAATCCTGATATTTTCTTCAGGGGAGGGTGGAGTTCAAAACTTTATTTACAGTTCATGGATGTTTCCAACCCAATTAAATGTTCTCCCTGCCCTTTACTTACTAATCCTTTATGGGAATATAAGCAAGTCAACACAAATTCATATTCCATTTTGTTCTAAAGGGTAACTGCAATTGAACTAATAGGAATTGTAGCATTTAAAAAGTAAGTGAAAGAATCATTACTATAGCAGTTTATACATGTTTGTGAGTTTGTCAGTAATACAGAACTCAGGCAGACTGTTTTGTAATAAAAAAAACTTTAAAACCACCAGTGTGAGCCTTTAAAGAGCTCCTGCAATCATAATTTATCAACCTTGTTGATGCAAACATGTGCTTTCCATCAAAACGCTGCTCCCTGAAAATATTCCGCTGAGTGAGGTTCCATAGAGATTAAATTGTCAGATCACAAATTATGCATTAGTTCAGAGCAGGTTGGGGTGGGGTGTGTGTGGGGGGGTGCTTCTCATTGTTTATATCCTTAGAACATCAGCTGTATTGCACAAAGAAATTTAAATTTGGAGCATGCTAAAAACATTCTGAGCCACCCCACCCCCACCCCTTTTTCGGGAAAATGGTTCCCACAATGCAGAAAAAAATTTGTCCACACACACACACACACACACACACA